TTAAATATGTTTCATACTACAACATCAGTATCAATACATACATATCTGAAATACTAACATATCAATTAAAAAACAGGTTCAGATTGCTTCTGGGAACATTCTTGTCTCTTACAGCAACAATAGTGACACATTAATTGAATGAAATGCCATTTCCTTTGACCACAGGTTCATCAAAATTTTCATCCATGTCTTCTTCACCTTCATCACTTTCAAGGTCACTGAGATCGATATTCTGTTCAACCTCATTGTCAACGTAATTACCTAAAAATTCAGCCCATTGTTCATCAATCCTTAAAAAAGATAAACATGCAACTATAAAATTTACAAATAAAATCATGAAACAATAAAACTTGAAGATGAAATATGTGAACGCAAATATGTAAGAAATGATAAACATAATTACGTACCACTTGAAGTCATTAACAGAGATTCACCACCCGACATTTCTCAAGAGGAAAAACACCTAACAATTCACTTGAAAACATATTTTTTCCTTATGTTATTCTTTCCTCTCTTGGGGGTACTATATATATGGGAAAAACGTTATAAGTTTAGTTACACCTAACCTAAATAACATTCAATGACATTAACTCTAAATGGAAAAAAAATATTAATGCATGTTGGAAATATAACCATTACTTTATGCATAGAATTAGGTGATTGACTTTTGAATTATATTAAATTGTATCAGTTTTGGGTTGACTCCCCTGAACTTAAAAAATCTTATGTTATGACACAAAAAACGTATATAGATTAAGGCATTCTAACCTTACCCGTGTCATACCACTAAAAATTACCTCCAACACATCACTTTTCATGCATGCTCAAATTACAGCTACTTCAATGTTCATTCAAGTACCACCATTGTTCATCATTTGTTATACCTACCAAAACACGAATATGAATTTTATGCAAGACTCACTGGATAGAATGAGTATACGAGTTAGATGTGCATTGGATGCAATACTTGATGTATCACTAGTATCACAGTTTTCAGTTCATATATTGCCGACATTGGTCTGCTTGTGCTTCCAACTTCTGTGCGTGCAGTCGTTGTCACATTAGCGCCGCGAGATTTTGGTGGTTCTGAACATTTATTTTGCACACTACTTTCACCATTGCGAACTCTTTTTCCTTTATTTTTTTGTTTTGAAAAATAAATTATTATTTTGAAACAAATAATAACAAGCTATAATTAATACAACATATCAGACCTTGTATAAAAAAACATTTAATACCTTCACAACTTGGCTTAAAGAATCAGTTACTGACAACAACTACATACCAACATTTCATTCAGATGGCGCATTTTCTGCACCCTGCAAATTATGCCATAGAAACTACTATGTTTATCAAAAGAGAAACAAATTGACTCAAACAAATAGAATATAAGTTTTGAAATTACCCAACGATTCCTTGCATTATGAGCTCTACAGTTGCATTTAGAACATCGCCTAGCTTTTGTGTCATTCTTTTTTTCTTTGGAGTACCTTTGCTCCTCACAGTTTTTGGATCACCTACGACTGACTTCAATTCCCAAATAGGATTGTCTATACTGCAATACTTTTTTGTAAATTCAGAATTCCGTCCATTATTTACCCATAAACACCTTCCTTTTTTGAAGCTTCTTTGCAAAATGTAGTAAATTCCGAACAATATGCACCAAACTGAGCTTGCTCAATCATATTAGAATCAACAATACCATTACAATTCATGTTCAAATACTTAAATTTTGCATCCACCGTCCATCGCGACAAAATCAAAGCGGTGGGAATACGATCAACATGTTCTTCCTTCATGACATAAAACATATGAGAACATGGAATCCCACGAGAATCCCATAATTTACACTCACATTGAAGTGTATCACCATCATACACAACCTCTTTTTCATAGTTGCCACGACAACATTTTTTAAGTTTATAAGTTTTAAATTAACTGCGTTATTTCAATGATCCGACCTTTGTTATTTCATCTTTGACTTCTTTAAAAATCTCCGCAGTATAAATTTTCGCGGCATGGCTCTCAATAAAATCCAAGTGAGTAGTCATCACAGGTTCTATAAACTTTGATTTAAAATAAGTCATTGTTTCTATAAGATCTCAAAGCTTGATCAAAATTATGCATAAATTCAAAAATACAGCCTTTCTTCCTGATATGACTCTTGATAATTGCATTGACAGCTTCACATTGAGACGTAGTTCTTATACGTCCAAAAACCTTCTCACGTAGATATGCAGTTTCCTATAGTGACTTATTCTCGTACATTTTTGAAACCCAAGGATTTCCTTCAAGTTCGTTTTCTTTAATTAGCTCTGACCAAAACTCTTCAAATTCATCCTTTGTAAAATTAGAGTACATGGACTTTTGAAAACCTTGCAAAAATCCTGAGTTCTTTACATTCTCATCAGCATTCTTAATCAAATTCCAAGCGCATAAACGATGTGTCGCATCCGGAAACACATGTTTTTATAGCATCCCTCATCGCCCCATCTCCGTCTATTATAACTGCTTATGGGTATTTATCTTCCATGCACTCTAAAAAACACTCCAACAACCACTTATATGGCTTTTTCGTTTCATCTGACACTAATACAACACCAAAAATAATTGTCTGAGAGTGGTGGTTACACCCTGAAAATATAACCAATGAGTAGTTATATTTGTTCTTCTTGTAAGTCGTGTCAAATGCAACCACATCACCAAAACAAAAAAAGTCAAATCTACTGCTCCCATCAGCCCAAAAAAGTGACTTCATTCGTCCATCATTGCTGACGGCATATTTAGAATATATCATGGGATCAGTAGATAAATTCACATGTAGATAATTTAAAGCAGCGAAAATGTCACCATCTTTAATAGTAGCACACATTTTTCTACCAAAATAATTATACAAATTATTCTTTGTAAACCCAACAGGATCATATCCACCCTTTTGAGCAACCATGTACCTCATTATATGACAAGTTCTAATTCCATGTAACTGAAGACTGTTAATCTGAGCTCTATCTGCTTCACAAATTTCACGATAAATGGGGTATAAGTGCATAAATCCAGTTGGGGTTAATTCATGGTTGTGAGCCTCTTCAAAAAACGACACTACATATCTATCCTTGTCGGCTTTGTAATGCACACGAAGCCTAGCGGGAAATTTAGTGCGGGTCATAGGTCTGTGTTCTCTTTTTCTATCAATCCTCCTAAAGTGTTTCATCTCTCTTAGACCGTGTTTATTGCATACAAACTGCCTCATTACTGTTATTTTACCACCCTCATTCCCTCTTGTCCTAACACCATTTTTCCTAATGGCAAACCCTTTACACTTACCATATTTAAAATAAAATTCATTAGCTTCATCAATTGTACTGAATTCCATAGCACGAATTTCATCAGCAGTAAGGGCATTAATATTCACCTTTCTATCACCTACAACTGCATCTAATTCAACAAAATCTTCATTGTGACTATTACCATCACCATCATCTGAACTTTGAAACACACTGAACACCGATTTGTTGTCATACTAAGTATAGTCCAATTCAACATCGTATGTATCACTATCACGACATCGAACGTCATTGGAATCATAATGCTCGTAGTTTTCCATAGTAAACCTAAATTAACACATTTGCTAACACACCAAAACCCAATAAAAATCACAATACCCAATTTCTTATTCAAATCAAGCATAGACCTTATTAGTTCATAAAATTTAAATCAAATTTAACACCAAATCTGAATTATCACTATTTTTAACACAACAAAAATCAGCATCAATTTCAATTCCTTATTTCTTACTAAATCAAGGGACTTGATTCAAAGGTAACCACCAAATTTGAAAATTTGAAATCATCAAATATTAAATCCATGTAAATAAAACAAATCAGGCATAAACCCTAATTCCCATTTTAAAATTGAATTTAACACTTCCATTTATACTTTATTAGAAAAATTAGTTAATCTTAATCATTAGTTTCAAACAAATATAACAAACATTTTCGAATTTACCTTAGCAACCGCGTGCTCAATACGAACACGATCAGATTTTTGATTGTGCTATGTTTGGTGAGCGATTGAATGGGACACCTCAAAGGAATAAGGACGAGCACGATGAATGTTGTGCTGATGTTCGTCTGCAGTGTTCACAAAGAATATGAAACGGAAAATGAGAATGATGAATAACTTTGCGATATTCAGAAAATGGCGGACGAACACGATGAAAAATTTTAGGTTGTTCAAAAATGGGGGACGAAAACAAAATTAGGGTTTCAGATTAGATAATGAAGATGAATATGATGTTGATGTAGTGAGGAAGATTATCGTATAAAGTTGTTCTAATTAATTTTATTTTAATTGATTTTCGTTATAAACATTAAAATTTTAAAACAATATTAATATGTTAGAGACTTAATTGTAATATTTATAACTATAAAGTTATCCCAGTAAATAATATAAATGATACAGTCCTATATGATATTTTAGGATTTAGCGTATAATTCTGATCGGTCAGAATGTGACTTCACCATTTTAATTACTTTACCATATAATTTTCCTTTAATGAAACCTGAATTTAGAAAACTAGAACGCATCTCTAGATGAAAACGAGTTAGCATTTCAACTCGGATGAGTTCATCAAGTTATCTACATACCATCTTATCTTAATCGCAACACGATGACATCAATTGAATTGTTGGATCAAACGAGTTCATGATTTGACCAGCAATCCTGCATACACTACTCTACCTAGTTAACACTAATTGTGAAAGGTTCTGATTCAATCATGAGACTAACATGAGTTATAAAGAACATGAAAACCTTCACTAAAGTCACATTACTTTCATCTATTACTAAAGAAAAAAAAAACTCTTGTAGAGAAAGACATAACAATCATAAAAGTTACAACTCAATAAATAAGTTTAAAGTCAATAACAAGAAAATTAACTATGATACTAATTCACACAAAAATCTTAACTACACTGACCAATAAAGATTCAAATCCATGTTCATAGCTTGAGGGATAAATCAAGGTGTTTCTTCTTAATTTCTTCTTGATTGATATGTGTCTTCAAACTTGTTCCACCACTAACAAAATATCCACTAATTTCATTATTAGCTGCAGAATTTTTCATAGTATCCACCACTTCAAATCTACCAACACTTCCTCTTGATGATGATAATGCTGATGATGATGTTGACCAACCATGATGATGATGATGATGATGTCCATAAGAGCTTCCAAATCCATTAGATGAAACATGAGAAGGCTTTTGAATCATGGAGTGTGCTTGAATTCCAAAAGCACCATAAAGTGGCAAAGAAGCCATGTTTGTATAGGTTTGTTTATTATGCATAAGTGGAAATCCAAAAGCAGAAGCAGAAGAAGCTATAATCTGTGTTCCAAATCTTTGTCCTCTCTTTGCTATAGATCTCTCTCTTTTGTGAGCATTTTGGTGTCCACCTAATGCTTGTGAACTATAGAATTTTCTATGACAATAGTTACAAGAAAAAACTCTTTGTTCCACCTCAACAAGGTTATTATTGCTTTCTAATGATGGATCATTAGCAACATCTAAAGAAGTTATGAGATTGAGTTCAGTTCCTTGTTCTTGATTATTATTATTATTATTATTACAATCAAGAACAAAATCTTCATTGGTAGATACATTTAAATCAAATAATGAAACATCTACCTTTGTGATTGTTGTCATGTCTTCTTCTTCATGATCAATAGATTGTTGTTTCTTTTTTTCATGTTGATTTTGTATTGGTGTGCTTGGACTTGGAGGAATTTCTTGACAAGAGAAGATGAATGGTTCCTTTCTTACTCTTTCCATTCAAGTTAATAATTCCTTAACCTTTGTTGGTATGTTTAAGGAATTTTTGAGTTGTTGATTCTTTGACAAACACCTTAAATGGATAAAAAGTAGGAGCAGATTTTTAGAGGCAGACAAAAGTTGTGTTCCAATTATTATCCTACACATGGATATGGAATAAGTAACTGAACAAGTATTATAAGGTTCAAGTGTTTGAGTTGCTAAAATACTAAAATATTGTTAGTTTCCACTCATTCAAATATGCCTATGGTCTATAGGCTATAATATATTGTCATCATGGTATTTTTAAAAGTTATTGTGTATTGTACATGATCATTGATTTCTAATTTATACAATAGTTCTTATAAAATGTACATAAATCAATAAAACACATCATATTTCTTAAAATAAAATTCACACATACTCCGTCCGTTTTAAATTATAAGACTTTTTAGAGAGAAAAAAATTGTCTTAAATTATATACCACTTTACAATTTTAATGGAACATTAATATAATTTTTTTTAATATATCCTCTCTCATTTATTACTTTTTTTTTATACTCTTTTAATTTCGTTTTCCAATTTAATTATTGAAGGATATTTTTGTAAAATTATACATTATTTCACGTTCTAATAAAATAATAATTGCATTGTTTAATTCGTATGAAATGACCAAAACATCTAATAATTTGAGAGAGAGGTAATATGTCGTAACACTTAATAATAATAATTCATTTTTATAAAATCTATAAGTTCAAAGTGATATAAAATAAATAAGCAACATCATTTAATTTTTAAATTACATAAATTTATTGGTCTAATATTGATCTAGTAACAATATTTATGGTGAACGAAAAATTAGGAGAAACTATGAGTTAGAATTCATATCTTAATTTTTCTTTTTTAATTAAAATAATAGTAAAAAAATTACTAATGTCATGTCAAGGAGTTGAGTCAAAAGCTCAAATCCAATACTCAAATCGAAGTTACGTGGACTATCACAGATTAGGTATGAGTACACTAGTAAATGAACATGTTTAAAAAATTATTAGTTTGGTTTAGTTCGACGGGTTCTCAGGTCGACCATCACCACACCCATGAATACTCATACCCATAAAGTATCAATTGCAGTAAGATAATGAGAAATTGTTCTTAAAAATGACTGAGTGTAAAGGACATGTAGCTATCTATTGATTATATATGTTAATCGATTCATTAAATTTCATTTGATAGAAGGTAAAAATTGACCCGAAATGATCTTTATTTTCAACTAGTGATGATGAATGTGGTCCCTGTTATGATAATCATTTGTATGTTGTATCCAACGATGGAGAGTATACTTGTAAATGCTTCAAATGATCGAGTCACTAATGACCTTAAATAGTAAAGGTCAAGGTTTTGAATAACAAGTATCTGAGTTCTTTTGGTTTGATATATATTATAGTTAAGATTTTTTGGTTCAATGATCCTAGAACATTCTTTATGACATGCCTCATAAGACATGTTCCATGAAATCCTATAATTTTCCCGATCTAAAGATTGATCGATGGTTGCCCAACTATAATTTTATGTGCCTCTAGGGCAATGTCCATTTTCAGACCACCCATTTTTCTTGAATTTGGGTCACCCATTTTCCAACGGATTAGGTCTTAGTTAAATCTAAAGTAGTTTCCTTCAAACTTTAACGGACAGAGCGAAGTTATGACTTTGCTTATTAGTTTCTTATAATTTATACGAAATTCTTCTTCTCTAAATTATGATCTTCAGTTTTATTTAGACACACGTAAATGAAATAATAATAATTATTATAAATTCATATACACAATTGTGAGAATTAAAATTTTAAATCCTAACATTACCGCCGAACTTAACAATAACAAATTTTTACTAGTTTATTACATGTGAACTAAATTAGTATCTTTTCTTTAAATATAAAAAGCATGTATAATATGATATGCTTTTCATACTGCATGGACAATAAGTACCGTCTTAAAAGTACCTTAACTAATCAAGTAGCGGACAAAATAAATTGTGTAGACCAAAACCTCACCCAACAAACTCTTCTATGTTTAGTACTTGAAATTCGATCTCCAAGGTCGCAATGTCGCATTGTCCTTTTGCATCTCTTTTTTCCAAAACATTTTTGCTTTACACACTTGTATCCTCGACCCTCTTCACATGGACTCAGATATTGCCACCAAAAAATATATGATATTACAAACAAACACTATAGTTAATATTCTTTCAACTACCAAATCAGCTACTTTAACGAACTTTAAACTTAGAATTTAATAAATATAAAAAATGTCTCTTATAAATACTTCAAATGTTACTAAATTAAGTGCCGACATAACTTTGATTCTCTTGCAACCAATTAATGATGATACATGCTCGAGTTTCTTCTTTCCTTCTTCCTATATTTCCAACATATTTCTACTTACCTTGCAACCAATTAATGAAGCACAAATTAAAATTATTCCACTTATAATAAATAGTAATCATAAAGATGGAAAGAAAAAAAAGTAGTAGGAAGAGAGTTTTTATGTGAAGTGTTCCATAATGGCAAAAGAGACAAATGGCCGACACATAAAAGAGAAAACTGATGTGGAGTTCCTCTAATGTCTTTGATAGTGTATTTCGTGTTAATTTGCATTATTAGTATTAATTATGATTAATAAGAACAAATCTCCTAGTTAAAGTATTGAATTAGGTATAATAACTTTGGATTTTGCATATAATAATATTACTAATTATTCTTACCGTATTCACAAGTCACTTTTGACAACTTTGTTTAACAAAAGTCCTAACCCCACCTTAAAAGGGCCATGATTGAGTTTAGGAATTTAAAGTGATTTATTCCATTAAGAAAACAACTTAATCACTTCATCTTAGTAAATTGTTAACGGTCTAATCAATGTATGCAACCAAATCTCTTTAAAAGATCTCAATGTCTTTCCAAATTGGTCCACATTTGAAAACTAGAAATGATGTTTTGTGACATCAATTAAATTGATCGATGAAGTCAAATAAAGTGTCACACACTTTATGTATTTATACATTATAAATTCTTAGAATTTGAATTAATTCAACCTTAAAAAATCGATTAGTAAAATGAGAAATGTCATTCTATATAAATTTTTTTAATATTTTATCTCCAATCAATGTAGGATTTTAGAATCTTTCTAACACACCTCCTCACGTCGAACACTCTTTTTGAGTTTGATATGTGAATATTAACGGTGGGCGGTCTATAGTCCGATCGATAGAATCTGATACTATCTTAGAGTTTGACTTAACCCAACATCACAAAACTGATTGGTAAAGTGAGGAGTGTCACTCTATATAAATTCTTTCAATGCTTTATCTCTAACCAATGTAAGACTTTAAAATCTTCCTAACATAAATAATATTAGTATTAGATAAAAATGGTAGTATATATATATATATATATATATATATATATATATATATATATATATATATATATATATATATATATATATATATATATATATATATATATATATATATATATTAAAGAAAAAATTAATCAAATTAATAACATCTTTAATATTTAACATTATATTATTAAAATAATAGTTAAAACGACCACATTTAAAATATTTAATATTTTTATTTTTGTTATAAGATTTTTTATTATGTGTTTTCTTATCATAATTCTTTTTATATGGTTTATTATAAAATTTCTAATTATCTATTTTGTAATTCTTTTTATGGTAATGAGAATTTTTTCTTTTGTTACCAACGTGCTTTTTATTTTTAGGATTAGTGGAATCTCTTAAAGGGGCAACTTCATATTGTTCACAAAATATTTTCATTTCGTGTTTATTATTCATTTTCTTATTTTTAATTTTATTTTATATTTTATAATCAGTAAATATTTGTATACTTGTTTCTATAATATAGTTGGAATGTTCTCCCATAGACAAAGTATTGTAGGGAACAATTTCATTAAAATTTTATTTAATATCGATTTTAACTTTTTCACCGAATAACGTTGGTAAGCCACTAATAAATCTTTTTTTCCAATAATTTGTCGATCCATCTGATCTGAGACATGTTTAGAAAGAAACATATCTTTATACTAACACTAATCAAACATGGTGGGGCAATATTCATTAATTGCTTAAAGGCTTTTTGCTAGAGTTTTAAGGGCTCTCCTACAAAGAACTTAGTAATGGCATAAAAGAGAGTTGTAACGCAATTCTCTTCATTATTTTCACCTTTTACAACCATGTCAATTTAACTTATCATCTGGCGCAATGATGTTATTCCACCACCCCTTTAGTTGACCAGTGAAGTGTTGGTGCACAAAGGAGAGATGAAAGACAAAAGAAATATATTAAATGACCGCTATAAAATAAGGAGTAATGAATACATTGAACTACCTACTACTAGGCTATTTATACACAATATTAGGATATAATAAAACACTAAAATACCATCTAACAGACTTAGTCAACAAGACATTCCTAAAATATAAATTATTTCCAACACCTTCCCTTAATTTATATTTACACAAAACTGATAACACCAATTTCATCCCTCAAACGAATAAATTGATCAGTCCTTATAGCCTTTGTTAGAATGCCCGCCAGCCGCTTCTGGATGCTACAGCGCACAACTTTTAATATTCTACTTTGAATCTGATTCCTCAGAAAGTGATACTTGGTCTCAATATGCTTGCTTCTCCCATGCAGCACTGGGTTCTTGGCAAGATTGATTGCAAACTTATTATCAATCATCAACTTCAAAGGCTTGTTTACCTCGATCTTCAGATCCTGAAATAAGTTCAGAATCCATACAGCTTGGCATACAGTTAGTGTAACACCCCTTCTAAAATACCCCGAATAATATTAATTATATCAATGATTAAAGACATATTCCATCAGAGTTAACACGGAACAAGGGATGTCACAATTATGAAATAAATAAAACTTCCAATAAAACAGTAGTCATGCTACACTGAGGGTCATTATTCAAATAATTCAATCAACTTA